GTTTCCAATCAATCGGTAAAAGTCGATATCGAAATCCTGTTTTTAAGCAAATGTTTTAGGTTTTAAGAGCTAGAGTCAGCCAATTTGACATGTAGGTAATAGTATAAACAGATCAAGTATCTTTCATTTTATCGCTATCGCCACCTATTTTATGTTAACAGAATATGAACTGACGCAGAGAATTTGTTATTTTAGTATAACAGATTTCGTTTAACGCATGCGCTGAACGTCCTTGCCATGACAACGTGGACTAGTGGTGAGCAATATATTTATTACGTCACTAGGTGCTTCAGCTAACTTAAAGCCCAACACAACTTTAGTCCAAAGAGCCCTAATTCGACTATATTAGAGCTATAGTTTGACGTGAAATCTATGTTGTGAAAATGACTTGCTTGTCGGCGGATGTGTTGTCAAGACAGAGTACTGCTTCCTTGCCCAAAAAGTTTTTGCATAAATAAAAGCTTTTTAATCGAACATCCTGACTTTATCTCAGGCAGCGATATAAAAAGAGTCGCTTTAAGGTCCTCAAGCATAAAATCGAATAGCAAACAAGTGAAACGAGAGTATCTGAGTAGGCGAAACCAGCACCGAGCTGCCGCTACCAGGCTTCACCCAGACTTGTTGACCACAAATTAGATTTCAAGCGCTCAACAGTTTGTTGAAACTTTAAAAGCATGTAGGAAAAAATCAAGCTTTAAAATGGTATAAAAGTGACGCCCTCTTCAACATAAATATTTTTTTTTAAGAATAGGATAGTGAAAACAATATTTTTTTAATTTACGAAGAATGCTAACACTACAAAATTTAATATTCAATTGCTATGTATGTAGAGAAGGTCGAACAAAACTAGAAACAGTAGAATTCTGATTGTTACTGATGATCACCATTTAAAGAGACTGAAACCTCCTTACGTAGCTTAAAAGGAAATGTCGGAATTTGGAATTCAGATTGGCACTATGTTGTATTTTCGGATGAAATGGAAGGAAGAACACAAGTTGGATCGCCTTCATAGCCCAGTGGTTTGGTGAGCCATCTCCTATTACATGCGATTTACAGTTTTTTACGTCCAATGTGAATACAAAAACTTACAAGGGCACACTTGAAACAGCTTTTCCTCTTTTTAAACACATTACTGGTGAACTGCACTAGCATTTTAAGCATGACAACGCTCCGATTCACACTGCCCGGAGGGTGGTTAAGCCATGGATTTGGCCCCAAAATGCCAGTATAATGAAGTGACCGCCTTACTCATTGACATAATTATAAGAGAAAACGTGTGGGGCTGATAAAATTTGCGAGTCTGGAAAAAGTATCAAAAAAAAAAAACATATTAAAGGCATTAGACCCGCTCGGTCACCCATTTCATGGATTATATTGAACAATTATACAATCGAATCTATAAATAAGGTTGTTCTCAACAAGGGAGGATCGACGCATTATTTGTTGCAAGACCATATAATGACTAAATATATAAGTGAAGTTACGAGTTCATGGCTTCAAAGCTCTACAGCATTTTTATAAAAAAAAAAAAAGTGGAATTAGATAAGTTAATAACCAAAGATGAACTTTTTGTTTTATTAAATTGATAATTGTTAAGTTTATAGTCAACAAAAACTTTAAAATTTTAATTTTAGTTTGGCTTATATTGAGCCGAAACCATATATGATAGGTGGTGTGATAACCTGTTTAACATGTTTTGAAAAAAAATCGATCCTTCAAAATTTTAATTTTCTTTCGTTTTACTTCAACCTTAATGATATAAATGAATATGTGCTTTAGCGATTTTGGAAAGTCCACCTCAAGGGCAGAAAATTCTCGGAAAGTTCTTGTAGAAAATTAGTTAGATTTACATTCGATCAGCTCTAAGCCTATTTAAAAAAATCTACGTTTTCATCATCCCAGTTGGTAGGAAAGGTATAGTGAATATTGTATGTGCAGAAGTTTAGTTTAAGTCTGATTGACTTCAAACTGATTTTCAAAGATTTTTATAAAAATCAAATATGTGACAGCATAATATTCGCCCGAAGTTCAATTACAACTTAAAACAAATTTGTTAAGAGTCCGGAGCTTATTAGTCTTCAGTAAATTTTTTTCATTTTGTCAATCCAAAACTGCTGAATTCCTACGCTCCTAGTGGACGTAGTCATAAAATCTATTATCTAAGGCTAGTATAAACGATTTCAAAACTTAAACAAAAATATAAATAAAAAAATTTTTTTTTAAGCTCACCTAAGAATAGAAAATATTCGATTACCCATCTATTGGTTTGTTGTCTAAAAACAATTTTTGGACATTAAAGCATTTAAAAAATGTCTATAATGCAAGTTTTCTAAAGTACTGAATTACAAGAAGTCAATTAAAGCCGTTATATTAACAAATTGTCAACAGCAACTAGATTAGCTGACAATTCTTTTAAATGTATTATTATTATATTTTTTGCTATATGAAATAAATAACTTTCTTTCAAGTAATAGTCATGATACACGTTTTATGGAAATGCCTTTACTAATATTGCATATAAATATACATACATATGCACATGCTCATATGTAGGTACATACTTACATATGTACGTAAGTAAATTAATTTTAATACCTGCAGCACTGACGTCCCTTATCGACCTAAATGCCAGGCATTGTTACTACTAAGTAACTTTGAAACGTTGCGTAACAGTCTACACACCAAGTGGTTGACTATGATTTTGTTTAAAATTATATCCAAATGTACGTACATACATATATGTATATATATACATATGTATTTAGTATATACATATGTGTGAACAAAGTTACGGAGACTATGGGGTAATTTAGCCAGTGTATAAGTATGTATATATTTTATTAAAAATATAATTGAATACAATGCATATGCAAACATTCATACGTGAATTTTTGGTATTTACTAGTATTCGAGGCTACAGGCAATAAAAATACATGGTAACAGTGACTCCGGTAAAGGGGGTGTGTCGCTTTTGCACTGATTTTGGGTGGACTGACAGTTGCATTTTTTTAAGGCTCAGCTAGCAATATATGTACATACATAGATAAGGCTAAACAGCTGTTTCGCAAACACTCATACACAACGCAGAGCAAATTTCCCTACAAAATATTTTCCCGTTATTTTTCCTGTCTAACGCATGCGCCTGAGTTGCCTTTATTTCAGCCCTGTCCGCTTGTCAGTGGAATAAAATTAGAATTTTTGCTATATTCAATATAACCATAGGTAAAGCATAACGTTTTGTTATGCATGCATGTGCTTGATAAATGTTTTCTTATAAGAGCCAAACCAAAATGACATCAAACACTGTACCGTATTTCTCCGCCTATGCAACTGTAAGATCTGCCACTTAACCCGCGACATATTCACATTAGTTTGAAAAGAAACACACAAAAAAAATCCAAATTGTATGCAGAACTCAAATTAACTGAAGCAATGTAATATTTATCAAACTTGTACAGCTCCACTCACCGTCGGCATAAATATGATTTCTGTTGCTTGGTTGGACATGCTGATACATGACTTTTTGTAATGCACCAATGTCGCCACTTTCATGTCACTTTAAACACTACAGGGGAATGAAAGCAGTCGCGTTTGGCTCTGAGTATTTATACATACATAAGGTGCCTCGAACGTAACGTCGCTGCCGCTGCTGCCTACTGCTATCATTTCTATTGCATCCCGTTTTCATAATGAAGGTCGATTACACTCCACAACACAAATTGAAATACTCATAATACCCTTCATTTGAATGTTTGTTTCTATAAAAACCAGTCCTCAGTTTTAAATATATCCTCGTGATACTTTGCATAGGTTTATCCTTATTACAGGCTATATAAACATCAGAGTCGGCTGAACCAGGCTAAAATATCATATGTATAAATTGAAGTAGAAACGACCGGTTTGAAATGTTCTGTTGTATAAAATAAGACTAAGATTTTCAAAATGACGTAGCCAAATAAGGCGTCCAAATGTTGAGTTACTAATGTTTTTTAGCAACTGTTTTGAAGCTTTAGCCAAGAAATAAAGTAAATTTTGGCTTTTCACAGCAACACGTTATGAATTAGTTTTATTTATCGAATTTATATAAATTGCAAGGTTATTTGTCCGTGGCTCAGAAATAGTTCATGCATGCTTTAATATACTCTGATATATAGCACACTACTTGATATTTAGCCCCCAGTCCGAGTCGGAACTAATATTTTTATAACATAGTAAAAGAATTTTTAAAATGTTTATATATTCAATTTCATAATATAATTTCAAATTAAAAAAAATTATTTCGTTAATTGTATTGAGAAATTGTTGTGCAAATTTGCATTTTCATAAAAAAAAAATATTATTTATTGCTAGTGTATAATTAATATTTAATCTTCAAAAATTAATATTACATTGAAAAGTTTCACGATATATGTATACTTTCACTTGGGGCCTTTCTCTTGAAGTATTTAGTCCTCACTTATATAAACGGCACTACGCATTAAAAGCGACTTAGAATAGTTCAATGAGCTCAGAGCAAAATCACTACACTACTCATAGATAAGTGCTAGTAACCTACCCTACCCTTTCATTAGTTTTGTAGTATAGTGTTTTCACTTTTTTCGAGCAGATTTTCCCTGTTATTGCTTTTCTCTTCGACGCGAATTTGCCTGCCTTTTTACTCGTCAAAGTAAAAGAGCGAAAAAGGGAAATATGTGTATGACCCATCTCGCTTCCTAAGAAGTAGACGTATCGTTGTTACGGTTACGTTTGATATAATTGTTAAAGAGATGGAAGCTGCGACCAGAAAAATGGTTAACATCTAAATTTGCAGGGAATTAGACGCAAAAACACTAGAAATTTTTGTTCTTGGATAATAGATTTAAGAAACTTATAAACTGAGCATACAACTAATAGTCATTTTAGGTGTGTAGCAAACAAAATACCCATGTAGACGTACATATGCTTAATATACGACATATCTATACCCTATCGAACCTATTATAATACGTGATTAAAAAAGAACAAATTTCTTTCAAAAAATTTGTTTCGTGATGGTTTGTCAGTCAGCCAGTACTTTCATTAGGGGCTATACCCGTGCCCACCGTTACGAATAATCGCACAAACAACTACACCAAATCTACACATCACTAAACAGCTGACTCCAAAATGGACACAAAGACCAGCGGCAAAACTACGCAAAACAAAAGTAACAAAACTACTAAAGCTCAATAACAAACAAATCGGACTTCAATCGGTGGCTTCACTGTTGTAGCCATGGCGCTCCCGCCCATCCTGTGGTGCTAATAATTAATTCACATTTCACCATCTTTTAATTTCAGTTGTAATACGGCACTTATTCGAACGACGTGGACATTCTCCTCCCCTCTTCAATAAACTTTTAGCCGCATATTTCTTTCTACACAATAGGTGCGAATAATCGTTGCATAATCTTTTTATTATAACAATTAAAAATAATTTATAAAATTTCATTCTTTTACAGAATACATCTTCAACAATATTTTCGCACGATCGTAAACAAGCGGAGAGACATACAATTACTTGTGAGCTGTTTGCACCAATGTACGCAAATAACATATAACCGGGTATGTTACGATAATCCCTCGTGCAGCATATAGTTTATAGTTAAAATCGCTTTTTAAGGCTTTTTAAGGGGGACTAAATATGAGTCTGCTTCTGACTCCGCCTGTCGCTCGGGGCAAGGATGGGCGTTATGAAATGAACTCGCTCTGTTGATGGGCGTGGTCTCGTCCGTTGCCGTTTGCCTCCTGTCTATCCTGCTGGATAAGGCCAGTGAAAAGGGCGCCGAAGATATGGCTGACGGGCGCCGCTGGGCCGGAACCTTGCCTGGGTGGAAACCTGCTGGCCTCTCTGGCTCGAGAGCTTCATGTAGGGACGGAAATCCTCAGCGTGGATCTTTTCGTTGCCGGAACCGCTTGCCGTTTTTATTTATTGGATTGTTTACTACCTTTCGGGCGTCGAATTTGTTTAGTGTCGCTTGTATATGTATTTGATGTTTGAATTTCTGTACTGATTTTATACGAGTTATTCATTTTCTTTTAGCAGCATTTTATTTATGCATAGGCGAGTTTGAATTTTTCGTTAAAGATATTATTATTAATAAACGTTTTAAACGTTTCTCGGGTTTCTTAAGTTTTTGGAATGGCCGGAATGACAAAAGAAAACTGCCACTGGTGCTTTTGCGCAGAGCTCGACTTGCACCGCCTCTCAAAATTGACTTCTTCGTTGCCTTGGGCAGCAACGAAACTTTTGCCCAAATTTACCTACCCATACATTCATATTTTCGGTGAATTTGCTAACCATAGGCAGAATCGGCATGGGTAACTCAACGACCGTGTAGGCCACGGGCATTATAAAGGGCATCTTTTCGCTCATTCCCCTGCGAGCAAATCGGGCAAACAACCGCCTACGGTCTCCCACCTTTTTTTTCGCTTAAGGCAGTGGATCCTAAGCTAGGCGTTGCCACCCATAGGAAATTTGGGGCGCTCTAAGGTGCTTAGGGCCCTCACATATATATCGATACCTCCTAGAGACTCCCTCATGCAGCATTACCCAAGGATTCCCAAAGACGCGACGTCACTGACTGGCACATTGGGAGCAATGGGTTCGGCGTGCGATCTTCTGCCTCTGTCTGCGCCCAATCTGGCCGGCCTGCCTCATTCCTTAAACTGAGCTGCGCCCTCCACAACCTTCCTCTACGCACGAATGTCCTTGGCATGAAATCTGTTTCCCTTACAAATCTTCTGGCAAGTATGAGTTATTGCCTACTCGACACACTACTCTGGCCTTTAAGAATTTCGTGGCACGAATTTGCGTTGGCAAACTTCTTGGCCTGGTTCCGCCTGGCACACTCGGACTCGAACATTATACTGCCAACAACTGCGTTCGTATGCCTGGTGTAGCTGACTTTGGACACCCTGTCTAATAAGGTGTATTTTGTCTGCTGGGTGCAAATCAGAAACCTCTTGATCACCCAGAGACCCTAACTAACTAACCAATTTGTAGCTTGCCCGTTTAAGAACATATGATGTCAAAAACGGCTAAGAATGGCATCACCCCTCTCGCCGTGTGTATCGCATTGCGTATAGACACTTATATTTCTGGAAGGTACGCCCTGATTGCCGACAACACGGTACGATTAACTCGCTCGCTTGCATTGCTCTGTGGCGTGTAGGCTGCAGTGCGCATATGCGAAAAGCCGAAAGCTGCGATCATGTTTTGGAAAGTACCCGATATGAACTGTCGTCCGTTGTCAGAGTGAATGACCTCGGATTTCCAAACATATAAAAACCTCGCTGACATAAAGTTCACTACGTTAAAGGCCGTAGCATCCCGCATCGCTTTTGAAAACGTGAATATTAAAAAATGGTCGACCACCACGAAGATCTAAGCTTGCCCTTGTGCGTGGGTACTTTCCCAGGAAGTCAATATACAGTTTTTGGAATGTTCGCTCGGTCACTACCTCTTTGTGTGTCACGCACTTTCTTACCCAATCCTTATTTGACTAGCCATACCGGACCAGTAAAACTGACGACGCTAGTTCTCGAGAGTTTTCACGACACCACTATGACCAGCCGTCTCATCAACATGAGCCTTTGCTAATAAGCCGGCTGTCAAAGAGCTTGGCACCCACAGCTTTCACACGGTGCCTTCTTACTCGTCTTCTAGGTGGACGAATCCCAGGCGATTAAAAAGCAAACCTCCCTCAACCTTCAGGTCTGGTAGCTTGTCCTGATTTGAATGTACGTGTTCGAGCAAGGCCTGATATACCGCTCACTCGAACTCGGGGGTCTCAAATTCTAGAAGATCTTCTGGAGCCTTGCCCACTGCTTCGACATTACGCGATAGAGTCTCGGCTACCATGTGTTCACTGCCTTTAGGGTGCTCGATAGTAAAGTCGTAGCCTTGCAGTTGCAATAACCAACGGGATAGTCTCCCGCTTAGGTCCTTAATGGACATCAGGCTTTTTAAGCTGGCATGGTCAATGATGCATGTAAAAGGCATCCCTTTGGAACAACATCGCTCCCACGTCGAGCTGAGACGCATCGCACTGCACAAAGAAGGGCTTCGAAAAGTCAGCGTGCACGAGCACGGGCCGTGGTCAGTGCGGTCTTCAACTGCTCAACGGCTTGTGTTGCCTCATCGCTCAACACAAATTTGCCATTACCTTTTTTTAGCATTTCGGTCAGTGGTGGCCATGGTCGCGAAATCTCGCATAATGGCTATGACCCATTCGGGGTCCATGCGAAGCGTGCCACCACCAATAATAAAGCCCAGATATTTTAATGCCTAATAGAAAAATTTGGATTTGTGCAGTCCAATTGAGAGGTTCGCTTTCCTTAAGCATTGACCCACTATTCGCAGGTATCTTGAATGCATTTGGAAATCTGATGGCGTTGAACCGTAGATCAGTAGGAATCACCTTGTCCATCAGACGAAGTAGACCTTATGCTGCATTGCATAGCCCAAATGGCATGGCTTGAAACTGGTATTAGGGCCTAGCTGGTACGGTAAATGCGATATAGGGCTTGCCTTTGTCGTCTTATTCGACTTGCTAATACGCGAAATTTAGATCTACACTAAATATGTAGTAGGTTTAATCCATCCTAGATAAGATGTCTTCTATACAGGGTAAGACGCACCTTTCACTGTCAAATTGTGCATCGAGACAAAAACGGTTTTTACTTGGACTTCGCACTACTGTTGTGCGGTTACTCCATGGGCTGTTGCACTCCTCTATAACCCCGAAACTCAAAATTTTTTCCGCTCCACTTTCTTTCTTCTAGGCAGACAGCATCCCCGAACGTGAGTCGCCCTGCCTCTTCACAATCACCCAACCGTTTCCCGAGCATTCTGGACATTTGGGCGAAATGATGTCTGGACAGCCACATTTAAAACAAAACAGGGTGCGTACGGTTGATGTACAATCTCTGAAATCGTGGCCACACTCCCCACAGTTCCAGCATCCGGGTCTGTTCGTGCGCCTCTGATCTGAGCGCACTTCTTCCACAATTTCTTAGATCTCCGCCTCTAGCTCATTTACCATGGGTTTTTGCCCTACGCTATGTAGTGGTGGAGCCGCATAGACTTTTCGGCTATGACGCTTTCCGAAATTGGCTTCCACCTCGTTGACCTCATCCCGCAACTGATAGACTGTGTATATGTCCATCGCGTATACGTACCGGACTACATTTTCTCTAAGACCTTTCATTATTATTTTCACCACATATCGGTCAGATAAAGGCTGTTCTGTAGTCGAGACGCTAGTTGTCGCATGGCATGGATATACTTGTCTGTCCCCTCTCCAGGCTTTTGATCGCGCTGTACCAGTTTGTGCATCCGATCATGCTCAGACCACGGACCACGAAATCTATCAAGCATCGGCCTTCTCAGAACTGGCAACTATCGACTCTTGATTGCCTCACATGCAGCCAATACCAATCCCTAGCTTTGCCCGTCAAGAGATTGTGAAAGCTTCTTAGAACTTATCTCCATGGGCATTTATATTGGTGCTGAAGGAGCTCTATCCGGAACACGAAATCTTCGATCGAATTATGAACCTTGTTTCCGTCGAACGAGACTCCCCATCTCTCCACCCCATCTCTGTTGCCCCTTGATCGAGGTTGGTGTAGAGATGGTCATATGGCTTCTCTCCCTCTTCTCTGCCACCTAACCAACGTCTTGGAAACGACGAAGGGTTTCGCCACTCATGAGTAGCCGCTCGTCGGTCATCCATCTCGGGACTGCTCATTCTGTCCTCTGGGTTACTATGCATGGGGCTGGTTGGAAGACGTGGCCCTTTCAAACGGATTTGATTTAAATTACGCTTGGGTATGGCTCCACGATTAGTCGGCCCTGCAGGTGGAACTGCGTTTGGCCGAACCGGCGGAGTTCAGAGCTTTTAGTCTCTTGTGCGGTTGCAACTTTTTGACAAAGCACTTCATTAAAGAGTACTTTGCATTCCGGTCTTGATCTCCTCCCTAATCGCATCACTTATACCCTCGGTTAATGATTGTCTATAAGTGGCCTGGGCTTGAGCCAATGCCAGATTCACAGCTGACTTTTCTGCGGAACCTTACCCCTGCGGAAGCGGTTGGTATCCTGCCTGCCCTTCTTCGTTGTTTCTTAAAGGGGTGCGAGGGAGTCGGACAGCTGTAAACGGGTGTGACTGGGGTACTTACTTTGTACTCTCGCCCTCACTCCACAAACAAGTGTCCATTGTCCGGCCCCTAAAACGCGTTTTGTGACCATGATCACCTTGACCCCCGCCAGTCGCCATTCAAACTAAATTCTTACACTACCTAAATCAGAGGAAAACCGAAAAAAAAACTCACAACTAAAATCTTACACAATTATCCTAAATATTATTTCGCTACAGAACAACCTGACTAAACCTGACTAAATATTTCATAAAAAACTTCACAAATACGTAATTTTATAACGATAATACATCAACTTACAGATAGGGAATGGCATGATTTGGTTGGAATGCTGTCTGATCTGAACTACGCCATCCAATTGCCGAATGCCATTTAATAGGTTTGATTGTCGATTGCTCAGGTTATCCCTCTCGTGGATTACCGGCAGTCGAGAATCATTCACCCGCGTCTACTAATCCGTGTCGTTTTCTTCGCCCGTAATATCAGCGTACTCTACCTGGACATAGAATATGCCCAAGTGACCTCATGATCCTCTGGAACAACTCTGACGCCCTAGACAGAAAACGATAATTTACTTATCTAACTCTATTCTATTTCACAATATATTATCACAGTTTCGTTCATAAGGCGAATCGCTAACCACAAAACCAAAGAAAGCGATGACTCAACATACCACAGTAGGATATGAACGCTGCCGGATAAACAAAAAAACTTCTTGGAGCAATATACGCCTCGCTCTTCTGAGCCGCGTAAGCCACCAGATTCTGACTATTCATAATATATCAGCTACTTGTTAGAAGGCCCTTTCGACCAGTCTCCTGACAAATCGCGGCTATCGAATGGTCTAAACAGCAGACAACTTATTGCGAGATTTAATCGTCCCGTGATACAGGCGAAGCTGAC